AAGGGAGGGGGGAAAAAAACACCGCGTTGAAGACCAGTGCGCGTGAAGGTGTTTTTTTTTTTTGCTTTGCTTTGCTTTGCGTGCTTGCACCCTCCCCCCTTTCCCTCCTCCCCATCACTCACCCTCAGGCTAATAACAGTAATGGCGTCCTCCACGCGGGGGCTCCGGTGGTTGCGTGGCCTGCACAACGGCTACCACCTCGCCAGTTCACGGCGCGGGAACGCTGCTGCCGTAGCATGTGCTTCATGAGTTGCTGTTGTTGCGCTTCTCTCTGTGTGCAAGGGCGTGTGGGCCGGGTAGATCCCCTCGTATTTGGAGGAAGCGTGGCGCGCCCTGCGCCAATGCATTTATCCTCCTTTCATCCCCCTCTTTGGTGTTGTACTTTGTTCTTGCAGGAGTATAAGAGACGAGCCTTCGGCCAGGCGCATGTCTTTTTTTTGTATAAGTTCCAATGTTCCATGTTTTTTCTTCTTTGTTTGTTTGTTTGTTTGGTTTTTCTTTTTTTTATCTTTATTTTCTCCCGTTTTTTATGGCTTTTTTGTTTCCTTCCTGCCTCTGCGTGCGGAGCTGTTTCTGCGGGGCGAGGGCGCTGAGACACAACACACGTGCTTCTTCCTGCACCCCCCCCTTTTTTTTCTCTCTCTCTCTTCATTTTTGTTGTTTTATTGGTTGCGCACGCTCCCTCTGGCTTTGTGTTTGTGTGCGTATGTGTGGAGAGAGGGGGGGGGGGCACGACAGCCTCACAGGCAAAAATATCGAGCTTCATTTTTTGGTTGCTCTGCGGCGGGAGGCGCGACGGGCACGGACGCAGCTGTCACGGCCACTGGGCACACAGCCAGCGAGGTGTCAAGCGCCCCTGCACCCCACCCCTCCCCTGAACCGCTGAACACGCGCACACACTTTGTTATTGCAGCATTATTGCAATGCCGTACTGCAATGGGATTACTTGAGGCGCGACGCCGCGTTGCATGCATGCACGCACGCGTTGGCCCCGTCGTTGTGGTGCCCACGGGGCTTCTTTTCCGCCTGCCTCGTTCTTTTCCGCCTGCCTCTTTCTTTTCTTTTTCTTTTGCCGACGAGGTTTCTCTCTTTTACTTCCCCGTTATTTATTTTTGTCTTTTCCTCTTTTTGTTTCGTCACCATCGGCAGCGTCTTTCTCCGCGTCTGCCGTCGGCGCGCCAGCGCCTTTGTTGTACCTGTTCCTTGCCGCCGCTTCCTCCTCTCCGTCCGCGCCAACGGCAGGTGTTGTCTTTAAGGAAGAAACGAAAAAAAAATGAAAACGAAAACGAAAAAAAAACACCGACCACCGATTGTGGCGTTTTGCCCCTTTTTTTGTTGAATGCCCAGCGCCGCTCGCGTTGACGTTTCCTGCGTCCCGGGGTCGCAGCGGGGGAGGCGCAGCGGGGAGCAGCGGGGAGAAAAGACAGACGGCGGCGGCGGCGGCGGCGGCGAAAATAAAAGTAAAACGTGCGGAGGAAGAGGAGGGGAGGGGGGGGGGGGGAAACGAGGCGCATGGGCGTGTGGCGACTGCGGGGGGTGGTGGCGGCCACTCCACGCGGCTGCGGTGCTCCCTCGCTTGCAAGGCGGCACCCGGCAGAGCCCCCCACCCCCACGCACCTGCGTGCGTGTGTATTTCTCTCTTTCTCCTTCCCTCTCTGCGTGCGTGGGCGTGTGCGGATTGTGGGTAATTGAACGCCGTGAGAGGACCTTTACCTTCGCTCTCTTCTTTACATCATGCTTTTTTTTCATCTTTCTCTCTCCCACTGTCTGTGTGCGTGTTGTTGTTTTGTTGTTTTTTTTTTGTTCTTCCATTCTTTTCACACGGTGGTTACTCGCCCCACATCTTTCACTACCCCTCGCGCCTCTGCGCCTCCTCGCACTAACTAATTTCTACATATATTTCCTCACTTATATATATATATATTTATGTGCGCGTATGCACGCATTTTACCGTCTTCCTCCTCTCCCCCTCCCCACGATGTATATAAACAACACACATACGTACACACACGGAGTCACACACATGTGCACGCGCCTATGTATGTGTGTGTGTCCTTCCGCATATTTCCACGCTTCCATCTGGTATATATATATATATATATATAATATACACACACACATACGTGTATTTATATATATATATATATTTATTTGTAATATATTGGCATCCACATGTCCGTGTACGTCTTGTGCGGTGTTGCCTCACTTGTTTGCAGGCGGAAATAACAGCGGAGCGTGGGTAGTGAGCTAATAAGCCACCGTGGCAACACACATATATAGAGAGAGAGGGAGAGGGAGAGAGAAAGCAATCAAGCAGACAATCAACGCGAGACGAGAAATGACTCTTCTCTCCCTGAGGAGGACGCCTACGTGTGCCCACATTACGATGTGGCGGGAGAGCGACCGATGGCGAAAAGGACAGGGAGCGCGGTGGAGATGAAGGAGCGATGCGGCTTAAACGCGTCTCACTTTTTTTTTGTTTTTGTTTTTGGCGTCTGTGTGTTTTTGTGTGCTTGTGCGTGTGTGTTTGTGTTTGTGTTTGTGTTTGTGTTTGTGTTTTCTTTTTCCTTCTTTCTTTGGTCTTGCAGGTTTTCTTCCTCTGCATCTATTCGTCGCACTCTCCCTACTAATTTCTCTCTTTCTCTCTCGGCGTGGACGGAGGCGAGTGCGTCGTGCCCCTCGTGCGGCGGCGGTTGCGTGTTTTTGTTCTCGCCCTTCTTTCGCCGCAGCCCCCCCTCTTCCCCGTCCATTTTTTTTTTTGTAATTGTGTCATCGTCTTTCCTCCGCGTCACGCAAAGTCAACAGCAACAAAAACAGGAAGAAGGAAGAGAAAAGGAGAAGGGCGCGGCGCCGCTGCCTGTCTGCCCACGTGTCTGCCCACGTGTCTGCCCACGTGTCTGCCCACGTGTCTGCCCACGTGTCTGCCCACGTGTCTGCCCACGTGTCTGCCCACGTGTCTGCCCACGTGTCTGCCACACG